CAGGGGTCGCATCGTTTCATACACAGTCAAGCCATCGCCGATAAGTGTCCTTTCATCAAGGAGTTGGTCTATTACTCTGAGAAAGATCTTTCTGAAATTGAAGTTGATTATATGTCTGATCGCCACCAGTAGCTCTTTTCGAGCTCCAGACTTTTCTCGGGGGCAGTCCCTTAACAGTCTTACTACTATATCCGGTAGCGTGGGAAGGAAATCTGTGAGCTGTTGCGAATAGACTCTCAAAAGATATGCTAGAAAACTCATAGTCTTCACCTGCGCTGTAATGAATTCACCAAAAGCCGCTCGATTCTTGATATCCGGACTAACACCTGTGAATATTGTACCTCTTTTCGCTGCTTCAATATGAGCTTGCTCCTGTGGTTTGGCTTGGAGTAACAGCACACTTTTGATGAGCGGTATAAATAGTTTGACATTCTGAGGCACGGAATTGCGATAAACCTGGAATATCGATACGACAATGATGGGACATTCAGCAAGGACTTTGAATGACTGCATGCCTTTCAGTAGTTTGCGCGTCTGCTGTTGTGGATCTTGACCGATGTCTCCAGTGGTAACAGGCGAGCCAGGCCGAGGGGAATTCTGAAATGTCTGCGAACTTCCAGGTGTGGACGGAACACCAGAGGGGTTAGATCCGGTGGCTACATTATCGAGTTGGTCACGAACAACCGAATCCATCTGGTCAAAAAGATCTTGAATGAGACCGAGGAACGTCTGCACTTTGTCTTGCAAAACCTTGGTCTGACTTCGCATGATGTCCATGATGGTCTTGACACATAGCGTAGCATTTTCCTCGTTATCTATTCGGACTAGACTTATCAAAAGATCCACCACTTCCACCGCATATGGCTCGAATGATTCCGGGGGGTTCGTTGGTAGACGATGAAGTATCTCCAGGACGCAACATCGAAGTTTCTAAAATTCCAGGTGAGCATTGCGTCACACATTTCGTTATTGTGATGCCTACCTGCTCTAAATTAGTGCTAATAAATACAGGAGGACCCTTCAAGCAATTTATAAAAATTGGCATGAGCTTCCTTAAGAATGCCGGATATATGGGACCGGTGATGTAATGCTCGAGGCCATCGCGCAATTGAACAGCAGCATCGACCTTGAGTTTGAGATCTGTCGCATTATAATTAGCATAAGAATGTCAAGAATTGCGTAGCAAAATATGCACAGTGGTTTGGTGTCAAGAAAAAGTCCAGTAATTCAAAGGCATACCAGTGTCTGCAGAGCTCAACCTCTGAACGAGGACCTCTATATTATTAGAAGTCATAGCTGCAATAGCAGCGGAATTCGCATTGGCGCAAGCCTCTTGCGGGAATTACTTCATGCAGCGCGAGAAAATAACACCAATTACAATAGAATTTCTCGTCAGGCTGAAAAAGTGCCGGTATTATGTGCAAACAGAACCGGCGTGCTTCCCAAAAGTAGTTCGCGTCTTGAATTGAAGGCTTCCGAGAAAAGGCTGGGAAAGTGTAGATGTTGTGGAAAAAATTTAATTAACTATTTAGTCAATACTTGAGAGACAATAAGGGTTTCGAATGATAGAAAGTTTCGAAATGAAAGGTCTGTCGTGATGTCGTAAATATTAAAAACGTTCTTCGTCCTGGTTGATTTGGACTTCTTCTGATATTTCTATGCTTTCTACAGACAAGGCTCAACTTTTTGGATGGGGGAATCGCAGAGACCCCGAGCGCTTATATAAGCCAAGCTAAAGTGGGATTAGACAGTATGATTGGCCGAAGCTTCTAGTGAGGTTAGCCTTATGGTACACGTGATTTGTTAGTCATCCATTTATAGAGGCATTCAAGTCAGTCTAGCGTGAAAAGGTAAAGTAGGATTTGACTTTCGATGACCAGTACATGATGTGTTTCGTTACTATTTGTGATGTCAAACTTTCATTTTATCACTGAAAGATTTCTGATTCGATTCACTTTGAAGAAGATAATCAAGAAGTCAAGTCAAATCAGCATGTCAGAAAAGTTGGCTTCTAATGTCCAATCCAAGAGAGTTCTTGTATTTCTGTGGCCCCAGAATCGTTCCTAGCATGGTCTTAATACATTGAAAGGAAATGAATTTCTATGTATATGGCCGCAATCCTATGCTTTTTGTAAGCTAGGCTCAAAAATGTGATGGACACAGTAGGGTAACTTGGTAGCATTCTAGAATACTGCGGCGCGTGAATATCTATATTTTCTTGAACAGTTCGACTTAAACCCCCAACTCTGGATCGAATCCGTTAGCAGTCCTGGAATGTTCCTCGGTATGTTTTGGTCTTTCCCCTTTTGTACACCAATGAATGGACGGTAGTTGATATTGGATCTATGTGGTCTGAAGGAAAGAAGAGAGAAGCAAGCAAGCCATCGATGCAGAATTTGGGCTGCGTTCCGATGTACTGCTATCACCGGTGTCAGGAATTTGAAAGCCTTGCGAAACTCTTGCAGGTTATCAATGAGTCGAATAGACTGTTATCCACTGCCATCTTTCCCATTTGAAAGAGAGCTAGCAAGAGAGATAAAGGGTTGCCCACCCAAGCTCCAAGGGATTCGATCCTGCTACCTTCTTTAGCTTCTTGTCAAGGCGGAATATTGATGCTTTGGGAGCTGCGGACAACAGCCCCGCACATCAAATGTGTCTCAATTCGCAGTACTGCGCCATTATAAAATATCCATGGTTTCCTTTTGTGTAAGTTGGAATTCATCTTTTGTTACCAAATCGGAACAAATTTTTGTTCAAGAATTACATGAACACTCCTTCGGTCTGCAAGTTAAGCCCAGACATAGAGCAAATCTGGTACTCCGAGATTCACATCTACCCTGCATCGGATTCTAGTTGGTATAGGACATGATCGCAACGCTCTATCGCATGACCATACGCAGCTAACGCCAAACCATGGCGCTCTTCGCATAGAATCAAATATCTGTCATTTGGATCATCCTTTCTACAAGACAGACAAGACAAGCTTAAGTCCCTAAAATTACACCAGGCCGATATGATGTCTCCCTCATTACAATACAATATTTGGCTCTACCGAAAGATCCCAAAACTCATCGAGCAACGATTTTATGTGTGGTGTGCTTGGGTTGCTCGTCAATTGATGATTCCACCTAAGAGAACGTCGTCGTAATGCAATCGAGATGCAGCCACCTGCCTGGTAATACTTGCAGTGTCTGCAAAGATTTATAGCAACATAATCACTACAACAGAATATGAGACATTTTTCGCTATTCTCACAGCTGTCATATTTACTGTTTCCATGTTATGGCGTCCAGGGATATGCCGACTTCGACATATCCATGCAGCAAGTCGTTCCTCTTGTATTACCACACACGAGACTAATCATGCGCGTAGGTAGCTATGGCTTCTTAGCTCTACAAGCTAATATTTATACTGCGTCTGGCTTTCATGACGTCCGAAAGGCTCAGTCAGGGGATTCAATGAGGGATGGGCATTCAAAGCAACAGTGAGGTGCCAATCCTGCTATGAAACCATTGTTTTCTTCACTAGATCGATTGATCTGAAGATTCTCATGGTGAAGAGTGCTCGCGCTAGCTAGTACCGATCAGTCTGTTCTGTCAGCATGAAATATTGCGTTTTCTTTTTTTTTGATTGTTTGTCGGGGAATAGCGATCAAGACTAGAGGCAACGACTTCCCAATAATTCCCTCAAGCTGACTCGAACCAATCTATACTAGGACACAAAATAGCTAACACAATGGCAGAGAAGAAAAACTGCATCGATGACGAAGCGTCTTAGAGCAAGGTCAAGCAACTATGAAATTATGACCCAGATTATCACACCTTATGGAAAGGATAACCTATATCATGATCAATAAATATTTCCATAATAGCCTCTCAATAAATAGCTTTCTTGGTCGTGGATTGTCGAACGTTCTTCTCAGGGTCAAGTGTCCATGCCCGCAATACCGTCCACCATCCGTGCTGGGAGCGTAATATTCACCATGTGCTCTCGTCTCATTTTATTTGGTATACACAGGAAGTCTGATGTATATTTAGGACATTGGATGTTGACACTCTTTTGCTTAAGTATTTCGATGTTTATGATATTCCCCTGAGTTTCGAAAATCTTTTTCATGGGTGCACCTGCCTTTATCACAACGAAGATCTCCCAAGTTCTGGAATCTATCATACCTTCCTCATGAATGAAACAATACAAGGGTATCGTACAAAACTTTGCTACATGGAAAATCTATCAGCTTCTGGTATGGCCTGGGCGATCATTCCCTCTCCTTGTTTATTCACTCCATATAAACCTGCAAATGGAAGGATCACATTCACATGAAAAGTCTTCTAACTCAATTGATTCACACATCTTCCCAGTTATTCAGTATCACATCAAGTGGGTTTACACCCATAATCTTAACAATTCGACGCTTTGGATTGGTCGCCTTACCCGGTTAAACATGTAAATGGAGCCTGGAAAACACCTTGATGGCTATTTAAGAGTACAAGCAAAAATTCCATGGATCGATCTTCTGCACATCAATTTTTAAGAGTTCAATTTATTTTCTATCTTCCTTCAATTTCAAGACTCAAAACCACAGACTTTGCAAAGACATTTCCCAAGACAGGATAAACTACGCAAAAAAATCTGGTAATGTAATCTTGCAATACTTCATAATCACCACTTTCGATCCAGATTGTTTCCCACATATAGTATCATAAGGATAACGCTTCAATATCTTCGTCCGCTTGTATATGAATATCCCATCCATGGCTCTATATTCGACTGTTTCATATCACATACAATTTTATCAGACAACGAATAATATTGGAGTTGATATTTACCCCGGGCCTCCAGGAGGTCTCCCTATCAACTCTAAATTTCTAATACCCCTCCTTTCATACTTGGCACCGTAATAACTGTTTAAATTATCACATTCTAATCTCGCAATTATCTTGCAGCTCCGAATATTACGCACATTTGATATTTTCCAAGAAAGCCTGGAATATTCGATCATGGACAAATTTTCCATCTGTTCCCTACTATCCTCCATCCGCTCAATCTACCGGAAAAACAAAACACCCTCGTCCTCAAAATGCAGCAGTACCTCCTTCAGTCCCGTTGTTGAAACAAAAGAAGTCATCAAAGATGCCCCAAATCCACAAGCCGAAGTCTACATCCAGAAAATCCTCTCTCTTTATACGCAACTATCCCAACTCGCCGATCTTAGTCCTTCTCCTGTAACCAATGTTTTGTTTTCAGAACTTGTGGGAACATGTATCACTGTTGTTCCTGACTTAATTTCGAAATTGGTCAGTTTCGTAACTAAAGCTCGAATAGCAACTTTCGACTAATAGATATGTAGGTGCTCAGCGACCCACGAATTTCCAGCATCTTGCCTTCGCTTCGCGACATCTGTTCAACCGCTGAAGCATGCATGGAATCCCACTGGGCAAAAGCAATCTCTAGCAGTGAAACTCATAAGGATGGCAAGTCTCATACATCTCCTAATCCAATTCTCTTACAACTAACTGCACCCAGCCCATTGCATCCTCTCCACCTTCCCCTACGACAAAAACTACGAACATCTAACACGTTTTGAACTCGCCACTATTTCATCAACCGGTTTCACTCTCTCCCCATCCACCAACATCGCTTTTATCGGCTCGGGTCCAATGCCCCTCACTAGTCTCTGCATCTTATCTGCACTCTCCTCAAACCACATGACATACAACATCACACCCCCTTCATCTATTTCCCCAACCCCACAATATCCAACCTCTATCACCAATATCGACAGTAACCCTCTCGCCAATACCCAAGCTCAAGCCCTATGCAAATCACTCGGTGGACTTCCATCCACCGGAATGAAATTCATTACGTCATTAGCTGGATCTAATGATCTCGATCTCTCGAGTTATGAGATCGTATGGTTAGCGGCTTTAGTGGGAGGCACCCAGGAGGATAAAGAGAACATTTTGCAAAATGTGGTGGGGAAGATGAGGAAGGGGAGTTTGTTGGTTATGAGAGGGGCGTGGGGGTTGAGGAGTGTGCTTTATTGTGTATGTTTTTATTTCCATCTTCTGTTTTCCTTGCTTGATGTTTTGGGTTTTTTTCTTTGATGTCATGGGTTATGGGATGTGAGAAATAAGGTCTCAATCCATCTGAAGAAAAGATGAAAAGACCAAATAGCTAACCACAAAAAATAGGATTTCGACGTCACAACCCCAGCAGTAACTCAACATCTCGATATCTGCGTCCGCATGGACCCATTCGGCGATGTGGTAAACTCTGTCATTGTAGGGAGAGTGAGATAATTCTGCCCCTCATCCTTAGCTTGATCATGGGATATGAGTTTTACGATTTATCTATATTGTTAACGAATGGCTGAGTTGTAGTCGTGATTGAACTGAGCGGGATGGAAGTGGACTGAGAGGATGAAGATACCAGAATGGTGGAATTGCACAATATCGTTATAGATGGATGGGTATAGTGATTGGGCAGGTGTAGATGGAAGATCGGATTACTTTTGGTTGAATATTTCTATTTAGTCCCTTTTTGAGGGGTTTTTGGGAGGGGGAAGAAAAGAGGAGAGGAGAGAGGATGGAGAGGGAAAGGTCTTCCTTCCATTTCGAGCTGGGATGGATGGATGGATGGATGGATGAATGACCTTGGTTTTCGAAACAAACAAACTAAACTCCAATCATGGATGATAGATAGGTAGATAGATAGATCTACAGAATTTCGATAACCACATGGATTCGATTCGATTCGATTCGATGTAATGATTCATATACAATTCCTACTTCACAGCTTGACGCTTAGAGCTTGTTAAAGTTTGATACTCAGCATGGAAGAAATAATAAGAATAAGAATCAGAATGAGTGTATAGACAGCTGCAAGTACCTAGACTACTTAAATCCATCCATCCATCCTTCCTTCCATCCACTCATAAAAAACATCCAAATGAAATGAGTACTCAATCCTTCATTTATTTGTTTATTTGTTTACTATTCAAGACTACCTAGGTATAATAATATATCGTATATGATATAAGAAAACTTCATTCGTAGCTAGGTAGGTATCTCTTTTGTGTATATATCATTTCCTTTCCTTCCTTCCATTTCATTTCATTTCATATACTCTCTTATTCATATCCACATCCATATCCACATCCATTCGCGATAAAGAGGTCTGGTGAGATTTTACTCTTGCTTCTGCTTCTGCTCCTCCTTCTGCTCCTCCTTCTGCTCCTCCTTCTGCTCCTCCTTCTGCTTCTGCTTCTGCTTCTACTTCTGCTTCTGCTTCTGCTTCTGCTTCTGCTTCTGCTTCTGCTTCTGCTTCTGCTTCTGCTTCTGCTTCTGCTTCTGCTTCTGCTTCTGCTTCTGCTTCTGCTTCTGCTTCTGCTTCTGCTTCTGCTTCTGCTTCTGCTTCTGCTTCTGCTTCTGCTTCTGCTTCTGCTTCTGCTTCTGCTTCTCCTTCTGCTCCTCCTTCTGCTCCTCCTTCAATCTCAGATCTTAGATCTTAGATCTGAATTATATCCCAGATCCAGCGACAAATCCAGCGACAGATCCAGCGACAGATGCGCAAGAGTAAGCTCTCTCTCTACCTCTCACCCTTCACCCTTCTACTCTTAATCCCATTCTATTCCATTCCATCCCATTCCAATCCAACTTCGAATCCACTGTAATCCAACTTCGAATCCGCAACAATTCTCCTCCCTCCTCTTTCCTCCTTCCTCCTTCCTCCGTCCTCCCTAGACCACTCCTTATACTATCTCCCCCCATCATTTCCCCACCCATGCACCAATCCATCTCTCCACGCCCCAAACCTCACATCTCACTCGCATCTCGCATCTCGCATCTGACATCTCACTCACATCCCACCAAATCCATAAATTCCTCTCCACCTCCTCTTTGCTTTCCGCAACTCACAAACTACCTACAACATCTCCACTCTCACTCTCACTCCCACTCCCACACCCACTCCCACTCCCACTCAAACCCAAGAACCTTAAAAACATAAAAAGAAACCCCCTCACCATCACCATCACCATCACCATCACAAAAAATGTTATCTCACTACCTCATCAACACCCCAAACTATCAAAGAATTTCATACAATACAACACAACACAACACAACACAAAACAACACGTAATGAATGAATGAGCGAAATGCAAATACATAGCAGAGCCTAACATAGCTGAGCCATCAATCAAATTCAAATTCAATATAAACATACTAGAAAGAACAAGAGAAGATACCTTCACACAGCTCCCCTCCCCACATATCATTTCAACATACACATCAACACCAACACCACACCATAAGTAACATATCAAAAAGCGCCTATAGTCAGACATTACAAGAAAATATAACATGGGTAGAAATTGGTAAAAAAAACAAGTAACATTTCGCTGGTTTTTGGGTCTCTTGCAAGGTTGAAGTTTAAAAGGGAAGCTCCACTGTACTGTACGTTCATAAAATTGGGAATCAAAAATGAAAAATGTAAAAGAGAAGCGAATGTCCCGTGTAGCCACACTTTCTCAAGAGAAACCGTCCATATGCAGTCCTTCCCCCAATTCCCTCATATTTTTATCTGAATTCTTCCCCTCATCTCAATTGTGTCATACTTTCGTCTGATATCCATCCTACCACACCCTCATATGATATTCCTTCCCTCCCAAATGAATCCCTTCCATTCCTCCCATCCCACCAAATGTAAAAGCCACCCGAGAGATCCGAACTGAAAATCTGTGAGAAAACTCCTGCCAGCCGGCACATCCCCACATTGCGACATGAAAAACCTGTTCATATCCAAAAAAAAGAAATGAAATGACCCATGCGTGAAAAAAAAACCAGACCCTTAAAATCGCTAAAATGAAGTAATGAAGTGTTACGAACACAATAGCAGGTCAAGAAACAATCGCTGTCGTGATATCATAAATAAACAATTGGAGCTGTGGATGAAATGATGAATGTTCTGAAAGATATTAAACATCATGTTCATCCATCATCTTCTGCATCATCCTCATCTTCATCATCTTCCTCAGCACTGCTTCTAGCTGCAGCGACCAATTTAGGTTTCTTACTAGGAGTGAGATTGTCGGAGTCGGCCTTTCGCTTAGTTCCCGAACTGGCACTCACACTAGAAACACTCTTGGCCGGGGTTTCTAATGGTTTGTCATTTTCATCTCCACCATCGCCCTTTGTTCTCTCAATTTCTGCAACTTCATCTGCAGTTAAGAATCGACCACCAGGACCTCTGGGTCTTCTCATTGCATGATTATGTCTGCTCTCGTGTAAATATGGCTTCCTGCCCTTTGAAGTCAATCGGAGGGCCTCCTCTAATCTTTGTCTCGCAACACGTCTCTTCAAAATACGATGAAATTGTTTTGCATTGACATATAAAGGCGACTCTTCAACTGCTCCCGATACAAGTTCGGGAGATTGAGGGTGTGGTGGAGGTGGTGCCGGCATAGGAGGTCCTGAAATTGATGACCGAGGCCCATGGTTCATGAGAGGTTGCGCATTAGGTACAGCAGGACTGCCCACTTGTTGTACACTCATGCGTCTATTTTGAGCAACTTGGTTGTTAATGGCAGCCTGTGTTGGTGACCGCGGTACTCTTTCCTTCTTCACATTTATACCGGCACCAATTCTTGGCGATGTTTGCGGCAAGCTGGGGTCCGGCATACTATAAGGGTAGTTACCACCAACTGCTGCATTGGTTGCTGCCATCGCTGCTGCCTGGGTATTCATCGGATTGTTTCCATATTGCAAGTTCATCTGCGGTACGTATGCTGGTTGATATCCCAGAGTGTGTTGCTGCATGTGTCCCGCATTGGGACCTCCTTGCTGCGATTGCGAAGAAAGAATTGGGGATTGTTGAACGGCATGTTGCGAATGGACTGGTTGTTGTTGAGATGGTGAAGTAATTGGAGCTCCGGAATTTGGGTGCTGTCCAGAATTTGCATATCCACCTTGAATATGCGCCTGCGTATGATTATGCTGGCCTTGCGGCGGTTGCGAATAATGCGCGTACTCCATCATTTGTACAGTTTTGATCCCGTAAGAGAGTTTTGTAAAGAAGTGGAGATCTCAATTGTCTAAGTCGCGGTTGCGTGAAGCTTGGGGCGCGTTGAGGCAATAAGGTATAGTTCTTGATAGGTGTAGAAAGCGACGAAAGAAGTGCTATCGAGTTCACCGAGTACGTTATGAATTGGAGTTGAGTATTATGATGAAAATCCGAAAATTCGATGACTCGGATTAACGCGTTGGCAATGCTGTCGCAAAGGTTCCAGGTGGCCGTCACTGAGCTAGTGCCTAAGCCTGGTCGTCAACCGTCGACTTGGTATGCGTGGATGTGCTGGCAAGCAATATGGTAGGTGTACACCGCAATTGACCGCAGCACAGCATATGCAAGCTGATGTAAACGAAAGGCGCTCGAGTGAGGCGTGCGGCGTATTAGGCTCGAAAGTTGGTCACCCCACGTGAGAATATCGGGTTGAAGTTATTCAAGATAAACGTTGAACAACCTTTTGTGGTATCTAGCTATTTCGCGAGCCACTCGTAGAGGAATGAAGCTTTCTCCAGTAAATATTGACTTTTTGCAATGTATGACTATCCAACCAAACAAATTAGTTATGATGAATGGTCAAGATTGAATCAAGCTTCGGAATGAGAGGGAATGATTGGAATATTGGAGAGGGGAAGGGTTTGGGACCCGATGTAATGATTTTTTTTTTTGCCTTTGACCAGTGATGCGCTGGCAATGCATGTGGAGGTCATGCAAAAGCTACGCTTACCTTGTGTATGAGCTTTCTTTAGCTTTACCGGCAATAATGGAATAATAATTGGGAATATTATTCTAATTTAGGTGACGTGACGTACTTGGAATTTGAAAATTCAAATCAAGTAACAAACTGGTGGTTTGTGTTGCGCGTTGGACCCTTGATGTACCTAATAAGTGTATGTGTAAGTAAGTAAGTTGTACGTATTATGTATCAATAAATGCAAAGAGCTTTTCTTCCTTGCAAGTTGCGATAAAGGAGCTTTGACGTGGAGTAGAGCAGTGCGGCTGTAATGTGTTTGAGGGGTACTGTACCTTATGATATTGATTCAATGATTGGTAAGGTTAATAAGTTTTGATGGGAAGGGGGGCTGGGATGAGCTTAAACTGGGTTGGATAGTCGAGTGCTCGGTAGGTAGCTTCAACTTTGGCTCGGAAGTGAATGAACTGTATTGTTGCGTTACAGTTCGGGTCGGTTCGGTTCAAGAAACCAAGCAAGTACCGTAGTGAAGTGAGTTAATACGTGGATTTGAAATAATTGATGAATCCTGGTATAGATCGATCTAAAGTGTGTGTGTGTATGTGTGTTGTGTTGTGTGACTCTTCAAGTTGACTGGCTAAAAGAAGGAGACAAAACGAATGTTAGTTAGTTATCCTAGAAGGTTCGTATATGTATATAGTATAAGTAGTTTCCCACTTTGCTTTGCTTTTAGTTTCCTTTGCTTTGCTTCGAATGATCAGGTACTCATCAAGCTTTAGCTTCTATTGTGTACCCATAGCTTTGATGCTAGTGTGACACGCAGCCGCGACAATGAGTACAAATCAAGAGCAAAAGCCGAGGGTAAACAACTTTTGGGCGGTGGATATGAAATTTGAAGTATCAAATTGTTTGACTAGGGACGAAACTCACCTTCCAATACGCGACTTGGAATCAATTCAGATCACTTCAATGGCAAGCTCAGTTTAATCCTTCCCGCAGGTAGAATTAATCACGGGATCGGTGCTATGGCCAATTGTTTTGGCGTTGAGGTCTTTGGAGTTGTTGATAGGGCTCTGGCGATGATATTGCTGGTGGAGGAAGACGATGAATGATTGGCAGTGTTCTGCTTTGGCTTGTCACCACCCCTCTTTTTCAAAAAAATCCCACGATGTTTGATACAAGGTATCTGACACGTTATTGGCGTCTCTCTTCTTTGCTTGCTTTCCCTTGGGGAATTGAGCGCGTCTAGTATGGGTAAGGTAAACACAGAAGCCTAGGCCAATACAAATTAGATACCTAGGTAGAAATTGATATTCCAATTCCAATTCGACTTTCAATACCAATACCAATTCACGTCAATAAAGCGAGTGAATGATAACGGGAGAGGAAAAAAGCACGAGCGTAATTGGACTGGACTGGATGGGATTGGATTGGATTGGATTGACTGTGCTTCTTTCGTTAATCAACCTTTATGTTGTGTCGATTGTTAAGGTTATTTTTGTGTACAGTTGCGATGCGATGCGACCATCTGTATGGATGGAAAAACAAATTGTGCAAGAGGAGAATTGAGGTAAAATGATTCGTTATCGTGAAAAAGGGACTCGATAAATACTGGAATGGCTCTGATTGGTATCTCGAGTAGATATGAGTCTTGGGGTAACAACGATGAAAATGAAAATGGGTCGTTTTGGTTTGTGGTTTTGCGTTGAAATTGTTTGATTCGTTGTTGATGTTAAAGGAAGGGGGAGATGAAAGGTTTTGATTGGGGATCTCGAGATATGAGTAACTTAGTGGATTGGGCTAGGAAATGGCGCTAAATTGAATGGGGGATAGTGTGACTTTTGTGTTTTCTGGTATTTTCTTTTTTGTCAAGTTTTACTTTTATTTATTTATTTTATTTTATTTTATTTAACTGGACTGGACTGGATTGGATTATTTTTCCCCGGTAATATTTTCCACACCAACATCAAGGCTGCAAGGTCTAAGGTCTAAGGTCTGAGATCCCAAGGTCTGTTGTTATCATATAGCGAAGGTGGGTGAAGACAGCTATTTGTTATATTTTCTTTTCTTTTCTTTTCTTCTCTCTTCTCTCGTCTCTCTTCTCTTCTTCTCTTTTCTTTTGCCCGTGACTTTGGATTTCTTCAACTAGGCCGATAACCTGCAGGCCCTTGGCGATCAAGAATCAAGAATCAACATTCAACATTCAACATTCAACATTCACCCGGTACCTACAAAGTCCACGGGTGTACACTGCACTGCACACACCGATGTGGAGAATGAATTCAAATGATTCAATCATTTCGGGGTCACTTGGAGTGATGGCCTCATAGCTTCAAGTAATCTAGCTGGTAATTCTCTCATTGGCTTATGTTATTAATAAGGTAAAAATGGATAATAAATGGATAATAAATGGGTAAAGGGTAAAGGGTAAAGGGTAAAAGGTAAAGGCAAAGAGCAAAGAGCAAAGGGACGAGCCGTTGGTTTCCCAGTTTCCATTGGTGCATAGGAAAGAGGAATCCAAAGCAATAAATTGGTTGGTGGTTGGGAGTGGTTGGTTCTCTTTTGGGTTAGATTGGGTAGAGCAATCTGTTAGTACTAATTAATATTACGACGGTAGTACGGTACAATTTACAAAGTCCTCACGGAAGAAAAAAACTCATGACGGTTGATATTGGAGAGGAAAGAGAAGAAAAAAGTTCGAATTAGTGGGGGTGAGAATCGTGAGATAGACTCAGTGGAGGTCCGGAGAGAGGGGAAAAACGGGAATAAATGATCTTCATTCTTGACTCGTGATCTTCTCATCATCCTCATCATTCTCACCATCTTTCGAGCTGACCTGTGTGTATCTGTATGTGCCATGTATCTGTATGTACCTGTATGTTCTACTGCGGCTGTAAACGTCCGTCTCTCTCTCTAGGTGCTTTACTCCAAACTTTATTTGCGTCTAATGGAAAATGCTTTCGACATCAACAAAAGAGATGGCTGGTCAACCGTCCACTAATCCTCATCCTCATCTCCTGCCCAACTACCATAGGACCATGGCATGACGATGGTAATCATCACATCGCTTCATCCAAAATATCAGGTACGTTGGGCCAGGCACCGCGCATTCATTCGACCTTCAATGCCATCTCGCGTGGAACATTACCAATAATCTCACTCTCTTCCCAATTTTACTTTCCAGTTTCCGTGCAATCAAAGAAAACCTTCCTCGATTCCCTGTTTGTGCCATCAACCGTATGATGACGAATCAGGATCAAGAAAAGTCGGTGTAGGTGGAGTATGTACGGTACGTATTACGAGAGAAGGGGTGTGGTATGTGTGAGTATGTGTGAGTATGTGTGAGTATGTGTGAGTATGTGTGAGTATGTGGGTCTGTATCTGTCACGGACGCCTTGCAACATTGAAGCATGAAAGCCAGGAAAAAAAGCAAAAGGGTCGGATTCTTCTGCAATCCTCGGTCGGTGTGGACATTCGGTGGTTCGGAATGTAGATAACCGTGAGCCTTGAAGATCGAAACGGGTGAAATCCCCGTGGGAGGGGGGGAAAGGTTGGGTATCAAGGAACGAGAAGTATGGCAAGTTTGATACAATCAACATGTACCGGGAGGGAAGTGTGATGCAGTGCTGGCATCTACGTCTTGATGTCAACAGATTCAATACTTTCACAATCACAATGCAACTCCAGTACCTGATCAACCTGTCGATGATAATGCATCCAGTATCCCGTATCCCGTATCCCGTATCCCGTATCCCGTATCCCGTATCCCGTATCCCGTATCCCGTATCCCGTATCCCGTATCCCGTATCCCGTATCCCGTGAAGAGAGGGAGGTTCCGTGGTCGTCTCTAGTTACTGCACCATGCGGGCCAGGCAAAGTTATCCATCTTCCATCTGCCATCTACCATCTACCATCTACCAAAATCATGCCATATATGCCATACATGCCATACATGATAATACTGTTCTGTGTCCATCAAAAAGTCCAGACCAATTTAAAAATATCAATCAATCAGAAAATCCAGCTTCATACGATTTTATTACTGGTGGAGAACCGCATCATTATTCCTCTTTGGGCCTTTTTCATGGCTCGAGACATTTTAATCCCTCCCAATCATTCTTCCTGGTGAATTTTTTTTTCCATCTGCACGTGTGAAGCCACTATAAGGCCGAAAGGTTGTGACGCCTTCTTCTTTCGGAAGTTGTGACCGTTCTGTTGGTCTCTTATCCTTGCTCATATGCTCTTTCCTCTTTTCATCTTTTTCTCTTGCCTCACGCAACT